AAAAATTCACACCAACTGGCGACTGACTATTTTTTCTTAAATAGAAACGTTTTAACGTTTTATGCAAAGGAAAGCCGGAATCATTTCAAAACAGGAAAAAAACATGAGGTTTAGGTTTCACTGCACCAGTTTATTGAAAAAGTTGAATAAAAACCAGACAAATTATTTTTTTAAATGTTGTACTATTATAGAATTTTCTTAAACTTCGCACATTGATGGAATTTAACCTGTTGTCTCTAAAAATAACTTGAATAATATATAGTCTTGCAAAAAAGTGTGGGTTTTGGTTTGTTAAAGTTGGAAATTATACAATTTTTCAAAGGTGTAATGCCCGTGCTGAGCAATTCTGAACCATCCGTGCGAGGGCTCCAAGTGGCCGCACATTCAGCGCTCCAAAGTAGTCAGTGTCGGCATTTTAGGTGAACGTAATTTCCATTTAAGGTTTTAACTTTTCATTACKTTAAAACAGATGCTCAGGTTTGGTATTTCATTTTGCATGAGTTGCAAAACCAATTTCGCATCTTTGGTGCTTTGTTAAGTGAAGTGCAAGAAAAGTGAAACCATGTCAGGCATCGCTCACAGGCAATGCTCTTTTGGGAYTCATCTGATATCACCTTGCAGCAGACAGTGCAACAAAATTTCTGAYTTTCYTTTTTGTGTAAGATGCCAAGAACATCCASCCATGTATCTTTCTGAAAATACTTTTCTGCTCTGTAGATATCAATAGTCTCTTGGTCTTTAATGGTGTCTGGAATTTCTTGRATGTTATATTGAAGATCAGATTTAATTAAAAGCCGTTTTCCACTTAGAGCTTCAGCTGCTGACAGGGTGTTTGTAAGGCATTCTAGAATGATGCGGTCTTTTTCTTTCAGTTGTAGTTTGGAGAAAGGTAGCATTTTTTGTTCCTTAATCTTTTTCTTCTTTTTTGGAAGCCCAATGACAGTTAGTTCAGCACCTTTAGGACGCCCTCTTTTCATCATTCTGGGTGGCATTATATAATCGGTTCTAACATCTTCATCATTTACTTTCARTTCTTCAAACATAGAGGGATTACTTTTTGCTGCAATTTCTTCACTGTCATCAACACCTTCAATACTTTTATCATTTCCTCCTTTAATGACAAAATCATTTGCAACAACAGTTGCAATTTCTTCATTTTGGACTGTTTGATCATCGGTTCTATTTTCATTTTTCGGGACACACAATTCCACTTTTTTCCCTATTTTCCACTGTTCAATGATAGTTTTTAAAACGCTTTCTCTTTCTAAGTATGTGGGCATTCCTCCTTCACTTATTAAAGATGCCAATTGTTGACCCAGTTGTAGTCCTTTTTTAAATTTTTGCGCCTGCGTCATTATTTTTCTTTTGTCACTGTTTGACGGCAGTGTGACTTCATTTACCGTAATGGTATCGCATATGGATTTTTAGAAGCGTGTTTCTCGAAGTGTTCTGTAATAAGTCATTGTCCACCGTTGATGAACAGTTCTTGGCTCAAATGAAGACAAGTTAAGAATATTTCTCACCTTAAAGATATGTTTGCAAGGAAGGGCCATTTTGTTTTGGAAGGGACATGTACATGAGGAACTTGTTGTTGTAAAATTATCATTGTTGTTAAATGATCTCGAAGAGCTGAATGAAAATGTCTTTTGTAATGTGTCATTTGTTACTGGTTGCATTTTTGATGATAGATTGAATTGCTCCTCTACATATTTAAAGGCGGCATATGGTGTCAGAAAATTTAAATATTGTTGAAGATCTTGATGGCACTTACTCTTGATAGGCTTACGGACAATGGACATAACATAGTGATGGCTTCTTTCACTTCTCAGTACATTAAGAACAGAAAGGAATTCATGGGTAAATTGTAGGATGCTGGCATATTTGCTGCAGACAGATTTGATTTTGCTGAATGTGGACTCCAGACGATTATTTGTAGTTTCTCCGATATTTAATGTACAGTCCTTAAAACAAGACACCCATTGTGCCTTAATTGGAGTCCAGTTCTTATCTATATATATTCTTACTGACTTACTGATCGAATCAAGTTCTTGGTGGTATTTAGCATACTCGCTACGTGTTCTTGAGTAGGCCATCTTCGTCAAAATTTCCAAGGAACGATTCCTTTCATCAGAGGTGATGCCCATTTTTTCACATCTTGAAAAAGATCTTAGAGTGTGAAATAAGCATATGTTCAACGATGCTTGGGGGAAACACTTTGTAAAGGCCTCTCTTTCCGTGAAGTCCTTGTCAGACATGACAACATGAGTGTTAATCCAAGCCGGACAGAACTTCTTAAATGCATTCACTGCAGCTTCAATTACGTCTTTCGTTTCTTCGGCCAAGAAAAACATGYACACTATTTCGCTGAAGCCATTTCCGTCCACACATAGAAGCAGATACACTGGCATTCTAAGATCTAATAGCTTGTATGTGGCGTCAACTAATAGCAATTCAGGGAACATAGTATACATGTTCTTCATGTACCTGTCCATGTACAAGAGGCCCTTGAAATTTTTTTCGGCTTCGTCAATAATGACTTCCACAGAAGAGCCCTCTTGGTTTTTTAGTAATTCAATGACTGAATCCAAGTTATTTTGTTTTAGTTCACTTTTTGTTCTTTGTTTCAGATTGGAAATATCTTTCAGTGTCACTTTTTTTCCTGTCGTTTTCTCAACTTTTTCACGGAGAAGTTTCGGATTTGCTTTCAGTTGAATTGCTTCTTCAATTTCTTTTTTATGGGCAGTGCTTACACTTCTCTGCTTTGGAAGATGGTCAAAGACGTCTTGTATCAGTTCATGGTTATGTTCTTCTTTGAACCGAGACACTTCCAGTGTTTGACAACCAGGGGATAACTTGATGAAGATCTCAAATGGGCATCCTTGCCTAAATGATTTTGTGTTTCTTTTCCTCGTCTGGCTGGACCTCTTTGGTTTGTCCCCAAAAATACATTTCATGAACACATAATCATATYTTAAGGAGTGCTTTGCATAAGCAATTTTCTTGGGTGTTTTCTTTTGTGCTGCCTCGAGTGTTTTGGAATCATATTTCCACAGTGAACAGAAATGGGATTTTTCGTACGTGCTAATTAATTCCTCCAATTCCTGTTCACTGTGTATCTTTTTTCCTACATAGAAAGGCTCTTTCTCATTATCATCGACGTGTTTTCCACTGGCACCACCTTCAGCTGCACCTTCAGTATTTGACCCAGCACCAGCTTGTTGCACTTTACCATAATTACCGCAACTATTATAACTACCTACAGTTCCATCTGTATATACTTGTGGATTTACATCATCGYCTTCATCTGCTACTTTAGTAGTGTCAAAGTCCAGATTCCTGTCATGATCAGCAGCATCACTGACATCCCATCCATCTGTATCTTGATTCCCCACAGGATCCTGCAGTGAGCTTGCATTTCGCATGCACTTTTCACTCTCATCAAGGGTTTCTCCAACTTTATCTATATCATCAGTGGCACAGGTAGAGTAATCAGTTTTTTGAGCATCATCATCATCATCATCAGTACTATGGTATATTTCAGTATCATTATAAGTCTCACTACCACCATCGCCATAAGTCTCTGCCCACTCGGAAATTAATGAACTGCAAGAAGAGTATAACAAGTTTACTAGGCCAATAGTCAATGGTGAAGCAATTTCCCTGAGGCTGTAATTTGTATTGTTGTTTGATTAATTTTCTCTCAAAAAATGTATACATCCAAGACACAAGAATTGCAAAGTATTTATATTGTGCATATRGTGCTTTGTGGCTTTGCAGCCACAAAGATAGATAAATGCCTTTTCATATAGATTTTATTTTTGGTAAAGTCTGTGTAAATATGTCAGCAATATAGCAATAAAGAGCAGTACACTTACACTGGAGTTAAGGTTTTGAGTTCATCACTCATTTGCAGTCTCAAATTAGGAATATCTTCCTGTGATTTAGCAGAATAAAAAAATAAGAATATCTAAAAGAACTGGTAAAATGAGAACRGAAGAGTGGGAAATTGCAAAATTTTGATAATTACCTGTTTAAAGTCGAAGATCTGCAATCCCTGAACAATGTGAGCAGCATACTGTTTTGGATAAGGTGGGAAGATGAGAAAAGAAAGATATGGTATGTTKGAAATGTGATAAAGTCTAAATTAAAAAATATATTGGACAAGAAGAATTAAATGAAATTATGATTATCAACAATAATATTATTACCTGACAAACAAATACACCACAGTCAGTACCATTGTCCTGTTTTGGGATTTCCTATATTATTTCATTAACAATACAGCTAGTAAGTTTTTTCTTTACATTAAGGGCATCAACAATGAGGAAGGTGTTAGAGGGTGGTGSCTGAGACCAAAAATGCCAACATATAGTCTGTTACTGTGTACATTAGGGAAATTAATCACTGCCCCCTGGGTATAATTGGTTGTATGCCGTACAGTTAAATGTCCTCATCTTAACACCTACTTTAGCAATGACATATGTCCATCCATTTTCATTAAATGGTAATCCTAGCTTGTCATTCATCTCCTCTTTGA